CGGTATATTTAAAACGATGGATGAATATTATTTTGTTTCTTAATAATGACAACCTGTGATATGCCCATTTTAACACGATTATGATACACGTGAAAAATTAAATTCAATTTAAACGTGGTATAATATCGAATATCTCGATATTACCTGGAAAAATTTAACTTTGTCGAAATATTCTAGACTATACAAATAACTCCATCTATTCATCATTGACGATGTTAATTTTTAACACACTTTACAATGCACGACTCCAGTAACAAGCGTGCGTACAACCAATATTTGTCGATGATTTTTATTTACACCGCAACTATCGGCTACCATGGGTTCTGATGCATAGAATAAGTGGTCGAACAATCGATCGAAACGTGTCCACACGAACCAATCGAAGAACAAAGCACGAAGTAAATTTATCCAACTTTGAAAAATATAAAATAAAAGAAAACTATTAATTCGTTACATGCTCGATACATATTACAATCAAATTATGTTTTACTCGACTATAATTCTGTTCATCCCTGGTTTCCATAAACGAACACGTAAATATTGTAAAACTTAAATTCTAGGTTCCTTATTCTATGCACAAACGCATGTCGTTTTATAGAAATTCATTCTCGTTAATTTAATTAATTTAAATTTAACTGATCAAGTTTAAGCAATATTCTCGTCGTATTTACAGGTATATGTAAATCATTGTCGAAGAAAATTTACACGTAACGTTGTTTCTTCGATGTTCTATATACATTGTTCCATGTTTCTACATTTTCACAAATTTCAATCGAACCATGCGACGCGACGCAACACTCGTACACGCACACGCGCCTTAATTATGCAAAGCCGTTCAAATAAATACGTTTTATTGCCCTTCTATGGATAGCAACACGCAAACAATTGCTTCGCAGCTTTCTTTTTCGTTAGCCCAAGCAACATCATGCGATAGCTATACGGGGCGTTTGATCACCCCTGGGAAAAATTTTAATGGGTGATTCTGGGGGCCAAAATAAGACGAAAATCAAGAATACCAATTTGTTGATTGAGGCTTTGTTAAAAAGTTATTAACTTTTAAAGTTCCGCTGGAAACGGCAATCTGCGAACAGCTGCGCGCGCGTGATAGTGGTTCTTATTCAACATAAGAAACTCTACTTACTGACGTATCGACAGTCTTACAGTTTTGTGAATGAGAACCACTATCACGCGCACGCAGCTGTTCGCAGATTGTCGTTCTACGGGCGGAAATTTAAACGTTAATAACTTTTTAACGAACCCAAATAAACAAATTAGTATTCTTGATTTTCGTCTTATTTTGGCCTCTAGAATCTCCCATTAAAATTTTTCCCAGGGGTAACCGAACACTCTGTATATTGCAATGATTTCCAAACGTTTTGGAAGGCGTCCCCTCTAACAGAAAAGAAAAAAATGCTTGTTACAGCATGAAATCTGTCGGCAATTGGAGCTTGCATGAATGTATTGACATGAATGTATTGGGAAAAATTTTAATGTGAGATTCTAGAGGCCGAAATAAGACGAAAAGCAAGAATATCAATTTCTTGACTGAGGCTTCATTATAAAATTATTAAAAAATTTCAAATCATTCTGAAAAAATTATTTTTGGTTGCGGGGCTCAATTACAATCACTTTTGGTGAATACACATACCCTCGAATTCCTAACCATTTTCGAGAAAAAAAATTCCTTACCGAAAATATAATTTCAGGCCAGAAATGTCACTCCAGTTTCATGCGTATCTTTAAAACGTCATAACTTCTGAACGGATTGAAGGATTTTAATGTTTCAAAATGCAAATAACGAGTATTTTAGTGAAGAATATGCAAAAATGCTAACAATATTAAAAATTGAAAAATTTCAAATCATTCTGGAAAAATTATTTTCGATTGCAGGAATCAATTACAATCATTTTTGGTCAATAGATATACTCTCGAACTCCTATCCAGTTTCGAGAGAAAAATTCGAGAAGGTGTGAAATTTTTCGACAAAATTAAAAAATTTCAAATCGTTCTGGAAAAATTATTCTGAGTTGCGGGGGTCAATTGCAATAATTTTTAGTGAATAGGCCTATCCCTGAAATCCTACCCACTTTCTTGAAAAAAAATTCTGTCCGGGCGGAACTTTAAACGTTAATAACTTTTTAACGAAGCCTCCATCAACAAATTAGTATTCTCGATTTTCGTCTTATTTTGGCCTCTAGAATCTCCCGTTAAAATTTTTCCCAGTGGTGGCCGAACACCCTGTATATTGCAAATTTCCAAACGTTTTGGAAGGCGTCCCCTCTAACAGAAAAGAAAAGGATGGTTGTTACAGCATGCAATCTGTCTACGTTAACAATTTTTGCACTCTTTTTCGGAAACACTGCACAGATTGTTTACTTTCAGATGGACAATTTTTCGCATTTTAAATAAACTTCGAACGATCCTCTGTCTTCTCTAATAATTAAAAGGTTGAATCTTGGTTTCTCTCATATTTCGACAATTTTTTTATCCCGAATTTTCGTCTCATTTTGGCAAGTAGGATTGCACTAAAAAAATTGCTTGCCCCTAATTAAATACTTTGCACGAAGCACTCGCATACGGCGTTAGATTAGTTCAATTACACATCGATTAGGCCGAATATGCATTAACTCCGTGTATCGAGTCAGCATTATACTTTGTTTACTATCGATAAAAAATGATGTTCATCAACGTGCACAGAGTCGTCGTTTTCATTTTCGCGTTTTATTATTTCTAAACAATGCACGCGAGAAGGTGGAACGTGAATTGAGTGGCGATCTTCAACTTTGATAATCACAGGTAAGAAACGTTCCGTAAAACAATCGAACGAAAGTGCACCGGTAAAGAGTTCTATCATTTCCGCTTGTAGAACCGACGGAAATGAAAGGATCTCATTTGGCTAACGACGCGTATGATTTCAGAGCTTTTCACTTGACGAACAAAAGAAGAAAAAAAAGGAAGAAAAATCGATAATATCGGGCAAAACAGATAAAGGGAACAGCCGTTAAGCTGCAGAACGAATGATATCGCAACACGAGATAATTAGTCCAAAAATGTTTAAAGGTCTGCTCGCCTAGAGCTGCGTTAATTGCTTTTTTCCTTTGACCATTCTTTCCTTCGCTGAAATAATTTTCAGTCAAGGAACGAATATTACAGAGCTTTACAATTCAGACGCAAGCATTTAATATTAACAGAGAGATATTGCACTCGAGAATTCTGATTTTTACATTTGATATATTAAATGTTGGTGTTAATCGAAACAAGCATGGGCTGGAAGATTGTTGAAATATAATGTGTATCAAATTCATGATTAAAAGTAACGCAAAAAGGGACTGTAGCAAATGCTAAATTATATTTACATGATAAATAGTAAATATTTATGAAACAAATGAGGAAATTCGAGACCTACACTTATCGTGCAATGGAATTGATATTTAACACTTCAGAGTATTAATAATTGAGCGTCTCGTTGAACGAAATGAAATTCTCGCGACGAACTATTTAATTTGAATATTTCTAGTGCTTAATTCATAAGATCCTTAAATTTTCGTATGCTTATGTATTATTATAGAGGGCATTGTAAACGCTGAGAAATGTAGTATCTTCTATGTTACTTAATTTAGCACAAATTTCGTTTGTACTAACTGTATTGGAACAAAATTCCTATTAACACGTTGACTGTCAGACTAAAACCGTAAGTTTGTTTACGAGACCAAAACTTTTATTTTAGACAATTATAAACTACATAACTTAAAACTTGTCGTAGCACTTACTCTTGTAACTTCACTAAAATTTATAAAACCTATTCATTTTCTTTAACATTTCAACTTGAGAATTAATTGTTTTAGTTTCACTGTTAAAAGTTCTGTCACCCATATATGGGTGACGTGGCAGTCAAAGTGTTAATAATACACGTAGAGCTGCCGTTTTGTTCCATCGAGCAACAAACGGGCGCTCTATTAGTTGAAAATACGTTGTCGTTACGAGTTAAGGGTACGCGTTTTAAAATAATAAGATATGGGACACGAGGAAATACAAAAATACGTATCTGTGTTTAGTAATGGTTTGGTTGGCCGTCGAAAAAGTCATGCTCGTGAATTTCCATCACAAACTATACGTAAGTAGAAAACGTATTCTACGGTCGGGGAGTATTATCGTATAAGAATCACCCAATTGGTGTAAAAATTCTCTAAAATACGTAATCTTTTATTCTACCAAACGTTTCTTATATTTTATGCAGGCTGACCCACGTAGAACGTTATTGAAATAGTTAGGGAGACGATGTAAGAACTTTCGTCTTTTATATTACAGAGTTTAGGTTTTAAATATTTAATGAAACGATTCTCAATTACGTATGATACGATAAATTAAATTTCAAATATAATAAATAAGTCAGACGTTCAGAAAGTATTGTTCTGAAAAGAGCGTTTGTAGTTTAAATTTTTTATTTATTTAGAAGGAATAATTGGTCCTGATGAATGAGTTTTATATTCATTAATTTATGCGTGCGTGGGGAGAGCTCGTACCGCATTACGTGGACCAGACTGTATAAGTTGTTTAATAAATCATAGAAGGAGCTCGGGGATTAGTTATTTCTGGACTTAAGAGGTAAAATTATAAAAAAAAATTAGGGGACTCCATGGGAAATAGAGGGGAAAAATTCCACAGCATGAGATTGTACGCGTTAACGTGTTAAATAATTTTGAAAATAATTAATATTCGAAGGTGATCAAGGAATAATTTGCAAAGTTTAAATACATACAGCGTCCAGTAAGCTATTTTCCGTGAAACAATTAGAAAATCGCCTTCCAATTAGGTTGATGAACACGTGTCAGCGATATCGATCGCCCGTTTTCTCGGACGAGAAAAAAAGCAGCGAGAATCTAAGACAGCATCTAAAAAGTAGAATTATATAAAATTTATTTAGAAATCAAAGGAACGCGAACGGTTCTTCGAATTTTAAACGACGAATTATCTTTTTCGTGAATTATCTGTCGGTCCGGTGAACGCTGAAAACACTTTGGATCGGACGTTAAAATTCGAAATGGAAATTTTCGCGACAAAGAAATTAGTTTCGGCCGTTTCAGTCGCATATGGTTGATAAAGTGTCGTCGATGCACACCCATTAATTGATCCCTTTCGCGGATGAGGATAAATGACGATGAACAGGACGAATCTTGATCCTTGAAGGATTTTACCCCGAACAATCATTCTTTTCTGCGGACACTGACGTGACTACGACAGGGCAGATAGTAGGATTATGCAGATGGCCGCTCTAGATTGCGCCAGAATGTTCGAGCCACTACCCCTGGATGACATGGATTGCGCCGTGTTGTCGATTCTTCGTGGTCGAACCTCGTTATCGATACTTTTTTGCCCCTTTGTTGCCGCGTCGTTTTTAGCGTTGTACCCGTCGCTGCTGGCTCTACCGTGTAGTCGAATATCTAAGAAAATGTAACCAACATATTAGATCAATTGTACACGGTATATTTTCACTATGCAAATTTTATATTTCTAACATCTCGTCCACGATGTAGGTAAATATTACTGCTTATCGATACGATGTGGATTCACTAGTACAATAATAAAAGTTTTTTATTTCTCCTTTTCTCGTTTCGAAACTTTTAACATATCTGTAACGTTTAACTAAAACCAAATACGACACAACTTTCACTTGTTTTTAATAAATTATAACAGAAGCAAAATTTATTTAATTCGTGTTTCTTTATAACCGAGCCAGTCAACTTGCGACTCTCCTGTCACTGTTAATATCGAATTTGTTCGCACAGAGACTCGTGTCATTTAAATCGATTTTATTTAAACCATTCATTAAAATAATTCGCTCAATTTAACTTCGCGACGAATGAGCTAATGAAAGAAAAATTGTCATAGACGATTATTAAAAAAGCTTAATACGATTCAATTTCATAAAAGTAGGAAATAGAAAATAGTACAATTTGATAATGCACAGAGAAAACGTCGGATTTACTGAAAAACTATTCTAGAAAGATTTAAGAAACTTGATAATAGCTTCTTTAATAATTGTATCTTTTAACTCGAATTAATTGGCCATTTTCTCGTAAACGTTCTTGCAATGAATAAGACCAATTTAATTTTTCGTTACCGTTGACGCAAAGAAGATTTGATTCCTCGTGAATGAAATAACTAAAAAGTGCATGTTCGAATGGGGGTGGAAAATGCGCCCCGACGATACAAAGTCTTGGGGCAGAAATTCCGAGCTTATTATTCTCATCTTTCCGCCGCGTTTTCTTTCTTTCAATGCCTGTTCCTCGGCTAGATTCCACATTTTATGCATGGCAGTTGACGGTCGCTTTTTAAACACATTTCTCAGACTTAACGTCACTCAAATGCATCTTTCATAGCAATTCCATCGCGCGCGTACATTCGCAGCCAGGAAGACAAAAATCATTTTCGGTGATACAAAAACGTACAACATAATCCTCGAAGAAAGGACACTGTTAAGTCATAGAGGGGTTTACTGACCCAAGAGCGTACAGCATATGCTATACACCGTTGGAAAGGTCTCGCCAAGGCAAATCGACTGATACCATTTTTAACTTCGATATCAGATGGGATAATGTCGAAAAATGGCCTCAAAGTTCGAGATTTTGCGGTTTTGAACAAAAGAAACCGGTAGTAAAAGCCCATCCGGCCCGAGGGACCTCGGGTAGGCACCTGAGGAAAAACCGAGGGGTGTAAGCGATACTCTAGCAGATTGGGACGGCAAATGTGCCATACCACCTTCATTTCAGTGCCGTGTTGGGCCTGCGTTTGCCGCATGGGGCCCGTTCCAAATGCCAAGGGCGAAATCGCTAATGGATCAGTTGTTTTTCATGAACATATTATTCATGGTAGACAATTCGCAGGTATAAGTTGGGAATGTGCAGGTTAGTATTCAGACTAATGCGTCACTTACAATAGTGAATGGAGTGACATTTTATTGATTGAACGAAACATAATGATGTGAATACTGAATACTAACCTGCACATTCCCAACTTATACCTGCGAATTGTCTACCATGAATATATTATGTTCATGAAAAACAACTGATCCATTAGCGATTTCGCCCTGGGCATTTGGAACGGGGCCCATGCGGCAAACGCAGGCCCAACACGGCACTGAAATGAAGGTGGTGGGGCACATTTGCCGTCCCAATCTGCTAGAGTATCGCTTACACCCCTCGGTTTTTCCTCAGGTGCCTACCCGAGGTCCCTCGGGCCGGATGGGCTTTTACTACCGGTTTCTTTTGTTCAAAACTGCAAAATCTCGAACTTTGAGGCCATTTTTCGACATTATCCCATCTGATATCGAAGTTAAAAATGGTATCAGTCGATTTGCCTTGGCGAGACCTTTCCAACGGTGTATAGCATATGCTGTACGCTCTTGGGTCAGTAAACCCCTCTATGACTTAACATTGTCCTTTGTCTGTAACGTTAAATCGATTTCAGATTTTACGAAATTATCTTCGTTTTTCGTGTTTTTTGCGAGCAACGCGAAGAAAAGCTGCGAAAAAAATTTCTCGAACTGAAAAATCAGATTATTTTCTATGGCTGAGACGACGCAATAGTTTAAAATCTTGTTGAGAGCGGCGTTTGTCGCCTCGCAGAAGATATACGTCGTAATGCCACGTTGCTGAAAGTTCGCGGGTAAATTTCACGCCTTCTCTTAAACTTCGCCTTCAAAAAGTTTCCCACCCTGCTGTGCGTAAGTTCTCGCATTATGGCTGGGAGATGATTTAAAAGGAAGTTTTCCAGAATTTCTGAGCGGCATAACGTATTTACGTTAAAATACGCCCACTCCGTCACCTCGTTTTGTACGCCTTAAACTTTACGATGAAATTCTATAATTAAATCCGATATGCGACAACCATTCGATTCAAAAACCTCAACAGATTTTGTTCGATCAATTTCAAATTTACACAAGCATTTATAAATTTAGGGGAAACGATTTTCTGGACGAAAGAAATTCTCTTTCTCGTAATAAAATATCTCTAACAATTTTAAAAAGAAATATCGATCCATAATTGTCTCGTAAAGGATTAATATTTGTAAAAATTGATATTCGTTGGTCCATTTATTCTGCTCGAACGTTTGATTAATCTGAAATCGTCACGAAAAACGTTAAAATTGCAAAACCTTTTGACGGAAAAGTTTCCAAGAGCTGGGCGTTTTTAGAAAACGTGAAAAAATAAAGTTTCCTTTTATCTAAAAACCGGTTAAGCCCCTGAAAGAACGAGTTCGCCCACATGATTGGGGGAAAAGGGCTCAACGACCTTCGTAGAGTCTAGAGAACCGGACAAAACGGGAATGCCAATGTAGCATCGTAACGCGGCAAGTTTAATTCAATTTTTGTTTCGAAGTTAACCGGGCGACATGTAAGCCGCGGTGCGCACGTTTGAATATTCAAACTTGTTTCGACAACAGTGCAACTGTTGCTGGAATACAGAATTGCAGCAATGAAATGTAAACCGGGATCGTTTTCAACGATACCTCGAGATATTTAATGCGGAAATGAGACGGTGGACAAGAATTCGGTTCGTTTGCCCCGGGGTAAAAGCAAATTTCAAACATGTTTTATAAATGGGAAAATATGCAACAAAACGATCGTTTCGCGGTGTCGTGTGGACCGTGATATTCTACTAATAAAATAAAATTCGATTGGATAATTAAAATCGACGGTGCGCGAAATTTAATATTGTAATCGCGCAAAATGTTCGCGCATACATTTGTTTAAGAATTTCATGTAAAATCCTGTAAATTTGCATTCCCGGGCCGTTGGGCGTGGACGTTTGTACTGTTTCAGCTTTCGATAAATTATTTTCAACTTACGAATCGAACGGGGGACAGAATTTTGTCAAAGGAGGATGATAAAAAAGTGCCAAATTTGTACCCCGTCAGGCACCTAAAATAATTATAAGGCATCATTCTACAGATTCTACACTTCGAATTGCGCACAATTGTTTATAGCAAATGTGATGAGAAAGTCGTAAAAAATGTGGTTGAAGTTGACGATGTTACGAAAGAGGAATCATAACTTTCTGACTTCAAATAACTACTTTTAACTTCGAAGTGAATGCATGAAACGTAACAATTCCGATGCTATTTTGTAAAGAAAAGTCAATATTTATATAATATGCAAAAAAATGTTGCCCAGATTTTTGGTTAATAACAATAAAACGCAAGAGATGTATTAGGATGCAAATATTCCTCAAAATATTGTGGGGATGTGAATGTGAGTGTGTTGTTGTGAAAGTGCGTGAGGCGTCAATTGATTGCTATGACCGGAGTCGAAGTCAGCTGTTCATACCGAGTAAATAAATTAATCGATTGCCAGGTTGCGAAGACGAATGCAGAATGCGTGTAGGTTTTGTCTCAGGGCGTACGTGTGTGTGTGTGTATATGAGAGATTAGGTGAATGTGATCGGTGGAGGAGAGTAATAGAAGCGAGTGGAAAAGGCGGACCGGCTTGATTCTACAAATTGGGGGCTCGTCCGTGCTTCGAGGAAGTGAAAGTTATCCTCGTGAAGCAAAAGTGGCATTTGAAATCAAGACGACAAGAGGGATTCAAGATAAAAGTGTTAATTATAATTGTGACGATAAAAGTTGTGAAACTGTGAGAATTAGTTAGTGGGTCATTCCATGCGAAGTCGGACACCTTTCGGAGTACCATGTCGGATTTTGTTCTAGTTTGAATATGTTGTAGTCTTTAGTGATATATAAACGTATCTCGAAGGATTTTTAAAAATTTTAAAAATTGTTGGTTTTACATCTGTTTGAAATATAGAGCTCACTTTTTTTCAATAAATAATAGCTGCTAAAGTAAGGAAGTTATAAAAATGAAATTTTTGGTACTTGTAGCAGACCCATGGGAGTATCAAATAAAAATTATTTCAATTAAAAAAAAAATTTTGTTAACTATTTATTTTGCAATTGTTTACAACAAATGTCATTTTTTTATAGCGGGGAAATATTTAAAAATCTGAAAAAAATGGGCATATAGTCCTGTTTGTCCCCTTCACGGACCAAGTTTTAAAAATACGGACACTTTAAAATTGGCCTTATAAAAATTAATTGAATGGAACGCTGGGTCGCGTCGTGGTATGCTGGCTCGACCGGCCAAGTCGCGCAGTGCCTGCAACCGCCAAGCGGCTATACCTGCTATTGTTATACATAGGGTGTTGGACTGCTGGAAAATGTAACAGTTATTGGACACTCACTCTTTGTCAATGACACTTAGAATTATACACATTTAAGTTGTCAATATTCAATGGGATAGGATGTTCAATGTTCTAGTGGGATAGGATATGATGGGATGTGATGGGATTAGGTTCTGGTTAAGAAATAATGGTTGGATTGTACCAATGATCATCTACCGGATTAAATTGTTTGTTATAAAATTACTTACCTCATAACAGCTACAACT